AGATGGTTCAGATTTGATTTGATTTTTATTTTTATTTATTTAAAATAATTATTTTAATATGTATAGAATCTAAAACAGTGATGATCTCTTAATTATTATTCTTGTAAAAAAAATAGTTTTTTATTTAAAAATAATTAATTAAATATTTTAAATCTGAACTGTTCAAATTAGATATAGACAGTCTAGATCGAATGAATTTAAGATGCTCATCAAAGTGATGTGTACCGAAACTGGTTCTGAGATTCAAGTGTGAATTGTTGAAGGATGATGAGGACATTACGGAGTCCAGTCTTAGGTCTGCTTGACTAAATAAATAAACGATACTCAGGTCAACATCGACAGAGACCTAACCTTTCAAATAATTTCTTGCCGGTGAATATATACAATCTCAAAAAGACGATTTTATGTGCGCTTCTCAATTATTAAGGGAAATTGTTCTTTTGTTTATAACTCCATGATTAAGTTACCTTCCTGCCAATTAAACGCCGAAAATAAGTTATGACCAAATTAGTCTAATTATCATAAAAATAATAAACAATTTATATTAGTGATCAAAGGTGGTAATAATAATAGTGGCCAAAATAATACCTTGTCCAATCGCTAATAGAAGAGCCGAGTTACTTGAAGAGTTAGATTTGATACTAAATATAAAATTTCATTTAACATTATCTGTCATATTTATTATTTTTTTCCTAAACTACTTGAACTTCTTATGTTATACTACCTCCGATTTTTAATATAAAAACTCATTTGATTTTTATTTTAATTATAAATATAAAGCTATTTCTCATATTATTTATTTTTTCAAAATATTCTTTTTAATAATAGTAGTTCTAACTAATACACTTGATTAGTAAAGACATTTTAGGGAAGATAATACCCATTTATTGCAAATAACTAAGCTAACTAATTTTCTTAATCTATTTAAATTAATCAACCGGCTCTTATATTAAAGACCGAAAGTAGTACACGTGGAAGTATTTCAAAGTAATGATCACATTGCATTTATTATGATTAACTAATTTATTTGAATTTCTTGATCTGTCTAAATTAAGCAAATAACTCTAATATTAACAATCTGAATAGAGGTATAATTTATGTGACGCATATTGCAGCAGCCGACGTTGAAATAAGCATTGTCATATATTTGAACTTTTTATGTTATATTACCTGTGATTTTTAATATAAAAAATCGTTTGACTGTTATTTTAATTATAAATATAAAACTATCTTTTATATTTATTTATTTTTTTAAAATATTCTTTTTAATAATAGTAGTTCTAATTAATACATTTAATTAGTGAAATATTTAAAAAAGATAATACCTATTTATCGTAAATAACTAATTTAACTAATTTTTTTAATTATTTAAATTAATCAATTAACTTTTTTTATTAAGGATCGCGAAGCAGTACACATAAAAGTATTTCAAAGTAATGCTGGTGTTGCATTTATTAGGATTAACTAGTTTATTTGAATTGCAGCAGCCGACGTTGAAATGAGCATTGTCATAGATTTGCGGGTACCGTAACAAGCGGGGAGAGGTAGGCAAGAATTTTCTAATTCAAAGTCTTCTGCCGCATTTGCGATTGCAAGCTTCCTCCGTTATTCTTTTCACTGTATTCATTTTCTAATTTGTGTTTCTTAGCGGACAAGCTTGTAATGTTCTTTATTCCCACTTCTAGTAGGCCGCGTTGTTCATGAGTCATTAATATTGTGATTTATTTATTAAATGCTATGCCACGCATAAAATTCAAAACTGGTAATTGTTTTTGTGTTTTTTCCCATGGAATGTACTGATGTATATCCAAGAAGCCAATTCCCAGCCACATTCAACCAACTGGGAGTTGGCTTTTTATATAAGAAGATTCCATGTAATAATTTGGAGGGGCGGCTTTTAGTTTAATGTAACATGACAAGTCCTCATCTCTTTCTAAGAAAATTTTCCCAAAAAAAACAAATAATGTAAGATTTTTTTGGAAGCATTTTAATTTGAATCAATGTGCAAAAATTTTTTTAGAAGTTTTTACTCAAAAGTGCTGGGCATCCAAATTTTTTTTTGTACAAATTAGTTCTGAAAGTTTAAAATCACAGCAACTTTGCTCCTTATCTTTAAGAATATTGACAGTGAAATGTCACTACTTTAGTGGTCAACGTTGGATCTTTGAGACAAAATTGCTATAATTTGAAACTTTGGGATAAATTTGTTTTTAAAAATTTTTTTTGGGTAACTAACACTTCTGAATAAAAACTTTCTAAACAAATTTAAGTCTTAACCTTTTTAATTTTGCACACATATGCATACTCTTCCGGTTTTTATTTAAAATTTAATTAACTAATTTGAATGGATTAAGGATGTTTGATTAGCGGTAACAAAACTGACTTTTGTTTCAATTGACTTTTGCAAACTTAAGTGCTGGTTTGGATCTCCATTTTGGAGAGATAACGTGCCTAGGAAACTAGAGGACGCACGTTGGTGAGTCATTGGTGATAAAAGTTTGTTTGGCTAGGTTGCTTCTCAAATTAACTTCTGGACAAAAGGCTAGGTGCGTTATAACGCTAAGATTTCTGTCTTTTAGAGCTTGTAACGTGAGAGAGAGAAGGAATAAAGATGAAAAAGAAAGATAAGAGTATTTAAATAGTTCCTATTTTGATCCAATAATTTGATTCTTTTTTAAGATAAAAAAATTAACTAATAAAATTTAATTAATTAATTTATTATTTTTTTTAAAATTTATCAACTTGTATACATATCATATATTACCTTCGTTCCTCAAAATAAGACCCCAAAATACTAACTTAAATAGATTAAGGAAGCTAAATAAATTACTTAATTATATTATATATTACATGATATTTTTAAAATATTTATGTGTATCATTAGATATATTTAGATTACACATTAGTTTACAAGTCAAATAAATTAATTTAAAAAAAATGATAAATATAAATACTTTAAAGTAATTTATTTAACTTTATTAGTCTTTCCAAATTAATTAATTGAGTTTTATACTGAGAATTACGGGTAGTATATTATAAACTTATGTTCCTTTTCCATCATTTTATATCTAAATTTATTTTTTTCATACCCATCCAAACAAGTTTTAACTTTTCAAGTTGATTTTTTAGAAATACCAATCTAAATATAAATCACGTTATACTAATTGACTTTTGTTTTAATTGATTTTTGCAAATGTCAGATAGAATAAAATTCAGTTTTATTATCCCCAATTCAAACACACTTTTTGTTGTTATCCACTTACCCCGAATTGAAGTTGGGTGGGTTCAAAATCTTATATTATCACTCAACTCAATGTTGAGTTCTCAGTTTATCAACTTAATAATTAATGACTCTGAATTCGTTTGTTGCTAACATTTATAAAATTTAAAAATATTTAATGGGAAATGGCCGTCATTTTTTTCCCTAGTTCATGGATTTGTGGATATGAAAGAAAATGAGCCTGGATTAGTTATTTATAAAAATAACAATTGGCTTTTTTACGATATCTTCTTTAATCATGTGTAATAGAAACTCTTTTTGCATATTTATTTTTAATAAGTGTAATTTGTGTAAAAATTTTATAAATTTAGAAAACAAAATAAATTGAGGTGTCATGACATTTCTGTACTATTTTGAAATCTTCATGTGTATTTTCATACTTAAAAGATTTTATAGTATTAAGTGTGTATAACAGTACAGTAGATAAGGAGATTTGCAATTTAACCCTTAAATTTGTATGGTCTAGTTCTTATATCAAGAATGATTACATTTTTTTTAATATGTGGAAAGAAAAATTACAATTGTTTTTCAACGGCAAATTATGAATGCATTTCAATTGAATTCAAATTTCAATTAACATTAAACAGTCAATGTGTCGTGAATTGCTAAATAAAAGTCGTAAATAAACTGGGGTTTTCATTCATTTATTTTCACAACTTGACATTTGAAAAAAGTAATTGTTAATTAATAAAATATTGTAATAAATAGCTAATGAAGTGTGATGAATTGCAAAACAAAAATTGTAAGTAACATGTAGTTGAAGATTAATAGTTAACTTATACATTATTTTGTATTATTTTAATATTTTGTCAAAACTTTCCTGAGATCAATGAGATGAGATGTCGGCTAGGACTAGGAGGATGGGCTGCCTGCTCAAAAAGAAATGCTGTTCACGGAAACACAAGTCCATGGATATCTAATGGAAGTTAGGTATAACAGAAAGGATTGACTCCTTTATAACACGATGAGCCAAAATTTGATATTTAATATTACTTCCGGTCTTAATTATAAGAGCCAATTGATTAATTTAAAGAGATTAAAGAAATAAATTAAGTTAGTTATTGTAATAAATATGTATTATCCTTCCCAAAATATCCTTACTAATCAAGTGTGTTGGTTAGAATTACCATTATTAGAAGGACTATCTTGGAAAAAATATACTCCTCCTGTTCTTAATATAGAACCTAGTTTTTGAGTTGGTTTTGGTCCTAAATATAAGACCCATTTCTCATATTTTTTAATTTTCTCTGAATTACCCTTATGGATACTCCCTCAACCATAATCAAGTAGAAGAGGAAAATGGGTGTTAAGAAAGATGATTATGATGTTTTAGAAAAAATGTGTCACTTTTCTTATAATTAACTAATTTACCTAACTTTCTTAATATAATCAAATTAATTAAATGGATCTTATATTAAGGATTGAAGGAGTACAAATATTAGAGACAAAGTGAATTGACGCCTTATATTTAGAACCAAAATAAAAATCAAACGAGATCTTATATTAAGGAGTAACAACCACAGGTAGTATCTAACAAGATTGCCTTCAATAAAAAATACTAGTGCTTAGTTTAAAAAGAAAAACCCTTTCGGGCAGGTTTTACAGAAACATATTCAACCATCTTTTTGGGCGGATCCACGGGCCCAATCCATGAGCGTTTGAAATAGTCTGATCTTTTTTCCGGCCTGAATATAGTTGGATATAAAAATAAGACGTAATATTTAGCAATCATAAACAATGCTATTCATTTCTCCATGAGCATTAGAAAATAGGCATCATGAGCTATTATAATCTAAAAGCAAAGGGAAGGAAGGCACAATATATTCTTTTGTTAAACGGAGCAAACACAATATTAGAATTGTTGCATGCACCAGAACTATCGTACAAAGCCATTATATTTCAAAATTTACTCATGAAGCATAGGCATTGTTGCGTGACCAATAATCCCATATGGGACGCTTAAGCATTTTCAGCTGGCTTCTTTCCTCCATCAATGAACAAACCCAGTGTTTTGAACCATCGCATTAGATTTCGATGATCCTTCACATAAAGCCATGCCTGCAGAAATTTGAAGAGGCTCTCATTTACTCCTCGCTCCTCTATGTAACTATGAAATGCATCCCTCGTCCTTTCATCAAGTTCTCTGTCAATTCACAAGTCCCACACATTAAAATAGGAACAGATAACACAAGGTACCAAATACTATGATGGTAAAAGGATGATGGGGATTACAGAAGAGCCAGATTGTTCGTATTTTCCAACAGAGTTCAGCGGGCAATTCCCCCCTCCCCCCTTTCCGCAATGTATTTTTAATCATAAACAAATAAACATTATCGGTAGCTATTTCATTACACCAACAAAACATAGGGGATCATCATGCTCATCATTTTTTTGACCAGAATGTTACATAATTTCAATGAAGGCAATTTCATTTGTGCAGCTAAACCTCCGGCGTGCCATGAAACCATTTAGCAACATGTCCAACGCAATCACTCAATTTCAGCTCAATTGTATTTCGGCATCCCCCAAAAGGCATGAACAACAAATGTCTTTACTTGATTCGTGTTATAAGAAAGGACATCTTGCTTCACCAATTGATGACAGATATGCACCATCATAAGCTTCTTCAACCAAGAAATAACAGCCGGTGCAGTTCACCAGTTGATGACCGATACATTAGAGCCACTTAAAAATAATTACAGTGGGTGGTAACCTTCTAAACTTCAAATCGTAAGCTAGTAATTCAATCACACAATTCCAACAGTTTGTCAGAAGGCAGTTAAAAATCTTCATTCACTTCACCTAAGATTTCGAGGTGTCCTCTTTCCCCTGTAAACATAATTGAATAAAGCTACCTCTCTAAAGTGTCAAGATAGACATGATTCAAACCACATTCACTAGCCCTAGATTTCACACAACTATAACAACTCATCAGTCTAGTACCTTTACCCTGTCGAAGTAAGGGTTATTGCATAATTGTATAATTAATAACGCATGCAATACCACATGATGAAGAAAAACAATGGAGCATGGACTGGTTACAAGTTCGAAACCTGATTAGGACACACGAGCCGCTTCATAAGGAACCACTTCACAGAATTTCGAAGAAACTTGCTAAATTTGCCAATCCTATTGGAACTACCTATATGTTTAATAGAAATCAAGAGTTCATCTTGATTTGTGCCAATGGAAAACAATCACCTACTTCAAGATGCCACAAGTTTCTCATGAACAAGTAAGAGGAAAGACACTAAGGGCAGCGTTAAGAGTAAAGTAAAATATTCTATTCTAAAATTTCAATATGACACTAAATTTCTTCCATATTTGAAGATGATCTTTCTTTTGTCACCGGATATGTTCAAGATCAAATCTGCTCTTCCGGTAAAAAGGGAGCTCTTTCGTCTTTTATTTATACCATCTTTTTTCTATTTTTTATAAATTAAGAATGGACACCGAAGGATCTGCTCCTTTTCAGTTTCTAGAAATACATAGAATAAAAAAGAGAAGAATATCTTCCCGTTTCTTACAAGTGAAGTTTGTGATGTTCTAGTTGAATTTAGTCAAGAACATCAATATCTCCCATTTCATTATCATTTTCTTTCTTCTCAGATATGCAAGAGAGCCAAATTACCTCCATTAAAATGGTTTACTATGTCATGATTTCATGACATAAGCAAATTGCATTTACCAAAATATACGAAACAGCTAGAGAACCAGGAAGAAAAGAATCATAACTTACTCAAAATTAGGCCCAATGTATTGAGTTGGAAGAACAAGGTACCCAGTCTTCGGGTCCTTTGGCCTCATTGAAACAGAGTGAATTCCCAAAGCATCCTCATACAATCCACATAGGAAAATCAATGATTCGTTCTGACCGGGTTTGGACACATCCACATGAAGGAACAACTGATCAATCCCACTGCTCTCGTCATCCATTCCACTAAGCAATCGCGTTACGTAAATACCGATTTCTTCGTCGCCATATTTTCGTTTGAGGACCGGACCTTCAGAATCAAGCGCGCCTTTCACAACAGAGAATGCATCAGGAGGAGCTACTTTCTGCAACGCACCGAAAAGGCCGAAGAAATTAAAACAAGCTTTCGACAAAACAAGCAAGAGGGTGTAAGAGAGAACAAATTGATTGGTTAGAGTACAGGAGGCATAGTCATTTTGGCCACTTCAAGATAGTGATCCTTAAGTGAGCGGAGAAGCATGGAATTCACGGCGGAAGAGAGGGTCCCTGCATGCCGAGTTGCCGACAGACAGGGGTGACGGAGCGCGGCGGCAACACCGACGGCGCCGACGAAGGCTCTCTTCAACATTTTGTGATTGATTGTCCTAGCAGCTTTCAGACCGGACCCTCCTTGAGAATGTTTTATATTTTCTCAGTTTGTTTTAAAAAAAAAAAAGTGTATTTATGGGCTTATTTGAGGCCCAATTTCCAGACCCTGGTATATAGGGTTACTTTGTTTGTGGGCCGACATGAATATATCAATAAAGGTTCCTTGAAAATTAAAATAAAATTAGAAAGCACAAGACAGTTGTAAGAAATTCTTACATACACCCAGAGCACCACCTCATCTGTGCTCTGACCAATTAAAACACACCAACTCACACCATCATTATCCTAGCTGGCATCCACCTAATTTAGGTTATTATTTTCTTTTAATCCTAGCTGGCATCTTCCTCCCTCCTTCATTCGTCTTAAGAATCTGGCTTCCTCACCTCCACCCTTTTTCATGCCTCATCCTCCATCCTCTTTCTTGGTGAACCAGATGTGGAGAGGGTAGAAAAGTCCAGATTGAGCCAACGTCGTCTATTACTCTCGTCGTTGATTACGCGGGGAGTGGCTGATTTCTCCTTTTAGGCACAATACAACCAAATCTTCTCTCAGCCCTAACTTGGAACGTTTTCGTTCAATTTTCTTTCTAATTAGAGTTAGAGGCAAACAAGAGATTTTTGAAGAAGATGGATGATTTCTCAAAAAAAAATTGTCTTAAACAAGCTAGTCTCCTGCAACGACTCTCTCATACAAGTCATTGATAGCTTGATGCCTGAACAGTCAAGTTCCTTTTTTTCCTCCAGTAATGTCGATGAGGTGGCTTAGGAAGATATTATTAATTTATGGTATTCTCTGATCAATTGGGTTTATTATGTGATAGTGCTGTTCAAATTGTATGATTAATATGGCTATCTTCACATCTAGATTTTTGGATTAAAAAATGTTGTGTAACATATGCCTCCAAAATGCTCCGTATATTGGATGAAATGGATAAAAACAGAGAACTTGGGATTTTTTTGGATGCTTTTCTGAAACTGTGGAGCTTGTGAGAAAATGCAAAGACAAATCTAGAGGTTACAAGTGCGGGAAAAATATAAATTTTCATGGGTTAGCTGCCCATGACATGCTTCTTACTAACTCCGAAAGGTTGGAAGAGGATTGGCTCTTAACAATAATACTTTGCACGTAGAGATGGGAATTAGGATAGGCCCTTCAGGGCTAACGGGCTTAAAAGGCTCAGCTTTTCAGGGGCGAAATTTTAAAAATATCCCAATTTTCTAGGCCCGGTCTTTAATTTAATGGGTTCAGGATCGGCCCGCGGGCTTTTGGCCCATTTAAGAAAAAATACTATTTTTTTATATTTCTCATATTTTTTTTTATCAAAAATGAAAATAAACTAATGAAATTGTTAATAAAAGACATAAATATGAATAAAATTAAGTCACAAATACAAAATATCATCATATATAAATATTCATCAACATCCAAGAACACCTAAAACATTCATTAACAAGATAACAACATCCAAAAGTTTTATCTATAGTGCAATTGTGCAATAAATAAACAATATTATTAATCTTTTAAAATTTCATTAACACTATAATCAATTATTCTTTTTCATAAGTATGATTTTCTTTCGTAACAAAAATATTAAGTTTTTCTTCTTTATAGGAATTTTACTTTTAAATTTTACAATCTAAGTATTATTTTACTTTAATGTGAGAAACATTGTTGTTGAAACTCATGAATTTCTAATTTAAATTATAGAATCACAAGTTATATAAGTATAAAAATACTCTATTATCAAATATATATGTAGTTTAAAAATATCAATGCATATAATATAAATCAAATCATTATTAAAGTCCAAATTAACCCATTTTAAAAAAATCTAATTAGATAAATTATTGTCTAAAACTAAATAAATCAAATCATTCTGTAAAATTTAATTTTAAAATGATAATAATAACTAAATATTTGAAATATTATTAATAATGTAAAAAATTAAGAAGATTAGAATTATATAAAAAAATTTTAAAAAACAAAAAAAATTATAAAAGGGCCTAAATGGGCCAGCCTTCGGCCCTCCAGAACTAGCCCTCCAAGGCTTATTTTCCATTTGAGGGAAAAAATTTCAAGCCCAACCCTCATAATTTCAGGGCTTAAACAGGCCCACCCAACAGGCTCGGCCTGTTTTCCTGGCTCTATTTGCATATGGTGAGGAAGAGACAGTTTTGCATCTAGCTCGTGCTTGTTGAAGTGGAAGACTGGAAGCAGTTCATCTCTTAACTGGTGGAAAAATGAGAAGCACCGATATTATTGGATTATTGAAGACTGAAGATGTAACATCCAGACTTTTAGGCCTAGACGTTCCAGAAATAGCCTAAATTAAATAGGTTACCAGACCCCTGTGAGCAGAAGTCCCAAAGATGAAAAAGGAAGTTAAAGCAGTTTCAGAGACTACACTGCAAAGTAAAAGTTTTCAGGGGCTCGGGTATAATTAAGGTTAGAGGCTCCAGTAAAGTCTCGAAGGCCCAAAAAGAGAAAAGAGGCTAGATACAGGCCAAAGGTTAAGCTAGAAGCCTCAAAGAGAGGATTATATGAAGCTAAGTCCAAGAAGGGACTAAACTGTAAATTCAGAAAGTTATGACCAACAGGGGTAAAAATGGAAGAGTACGCAGAGAATTCCAAGAAAATCCTAAAAAATTGGAAATAATATTCTAAGGCTCTTCTATGAAGAGAAAAGATGAAAATACCCCTGAGGCAGCTTAAATGGAATTTATGAGGTTGTGACCGGTAAAAAGTATACCATTTGAGGTAATTATTTGAAATAGCAAGAGACCTCAAAAATGTATACAAAAATGAGGTTAAATGGTTGAAAGGTTGTACTAATTTATAAAATTAGTCCCGCAACCAAAAGACCAGTGGAGTGGCTTTAATAAATTAAAGAGCCGGTTTTGCCGATAAAAGGGCATTTTGGTAAATAAATTTTTATGCAAGGCTTAAAGGAAATGTTATGGGTTAAGAAAATTCATAGATACTCTCTAAAATTAAAGAGAATTTAGGGATCTGACAAAAAATAATTACAGAGGCCAGAGCACTGTAATTATAGAAAAGAAGTTAAACCCGGAGTAAAAGTGCACCGATAAAGTGTTAATCAGAGTCTTGCACTTTGCTTGGCCCACAAGTAGCCACTTGTCAAGCCTTTAATGGATGGTAATTAAAGCTTTCCAAGTGTCAAGCTACCAATGGAGAGGATCTTGACTTTGGAATTTAATTACATTATGATTTAAGTTAATTAAGAGAGAGGATTAAGATTAAGTAGGCTAATGACACTTGGCATAACATTAATGATGGTTGGTGGGATATTTTGTACACATTAATGAGCTCATCTCTCCCTTAAATCAGATGGGAATTTCGTGCAAGGCATGAAGAGAGGGAAAAAGAGAGAGTTTTGAGGGAAAACCAAGAGAAAGGCATCAACTTTGGTCATACAATCAAGGTTCAAGGTGAGTTCTTGGCTCTAGATGTGTTCTTGCCTTGGTTTCTTTCTCTTTTATGGTTGAAAATATGTCTTCTCTCCCTTTTGATGGCTGGTTGAAATGGTTGATGAGTGGGGAAGGGAGTTTGGTTGTTAGATCTTGCTAGAACACCTCAAAGTATGATAGATCCAAGTGGATCTATGTGAAAATTGGAAGAATTACGTGCTGATTTGATGGCTTTTTCGAATTAGTTACTGTTCATATCTGGTTCTGAAATTTGGTATGCCTAAAGTACACTCTATGAGCTTTAAATACATGGGTAGAACACTTTATTTGGATATGTGTACGATTTATGGTGATTTTTCAAAGCTAGGGTTTGAAATCTGGAAACAGTGTTGAACTTTTGGGAGATTGTCGAGTTCCGTACAATTATGGTACTGTTCTGCATAGAATTGGTTCCTGAAACTATTTTTCCTTTAAAGTTAACTTAATTAGCTTTCATTGAGACTTGGAAGAACTCAATTTTCATTTTTCTAGATTTAATTATGAATTTTGAAAGTTGATCAAAAATTCTGGAGATTCTGCGTGAACAGTACCCGCGAACCAAATTTTCCAGATTTGATATTCTTGAATCTAAAGCCATCTAAAGTGGTCCTAATTGACAAGAAATGGATCATAAGGATGGGAAATGATGAGATTTATGTTAGAAAAGCTAGAAAGAAAACCCTAAAACTAAGAGAAAGGGTTGAGGTTCAAGAAAGCTAGCCTTGAACTTTATGTAATGTCTTGGTCCTAATGGGTTGTGTGACCAATGTGATTATGTTTAGGATCTTGAAACATCTGAGAGGATGTTTGATGATGTTGGGCTAAAGCTACCATGGTTGGAAAGTCAAGGGAGTCAAAGGAAAAGTAAGAGGAAGGCTTGAGGTGCAAGGTAGTGAACTTACCTATTGTCATTGCTTGATATGGTATGCTTATGTGTTGCCGTGTACATGTTATTTGCATGTTGTTGTGACATGTTTTAGCTGCTGTAATTGCTATTCGTGATGAGTAGATTATGTCTCCATGGCCATGCATCAAGAAGTTAGCTTTGAGCATGCTGGTATGTCACTAATTAACAAGAGAATAAACAAGTTGCATGTAGTGCATGAGCATCCATCTAGCATGATTAATATGGTATTGTTTGCTACTGAGATTCCCCCGAATCTCACCTCCTCCCTAACCAACCATTTAGGTCAAATCAATGATGGGCACTAAGGGCATGAGAAGCAAGGAGAAGAAGTGGAGAATTATTAATGCTAATGATTGATGTTATTATTCAATGTATAATTCTCCTATGTTGTAAGTTATGTTATGAATGCCATCAATTCAATGTATACGCTTAGGATGTTTATGGCATGAATAAAAGTATATGAGTATGAATGAGAAAGATTAAGCCCATGTTATGTATGTCAAAGAAATAAAAAGAATTAAAGTAAGGAGATATTGAGGGATAAAACGTAGGTCATGGAGCAGTTAGTTTCAAGCTTCAGTTTAACCTACCAAATGAATGAGTTAAATCACGAGATTTGGCA